AAAATTCGCACGTATTCTTTTTCTCATTGTGTTACTATTATATTATTTGTTTCTTATTCTATAGACAAATTATATTTTATTTACTAAATAATTAAAGCACATTTATATGTATTGCGTTATTTTTTGTATGTGTTTTATATAATAATGTTTTCAAATTATCCTTTTTATTAGGCTACAACTACTATAATCACATAAGATAAAATGTAAATTTAATATATTGGATAAAAATGTACTTTTTATACGAATTATTATATTAAAAAGTTTACAATTTTTGATAAAATATTAGGTAACTAAGTCATTTTCATAATCACTGAATACATATATGGTACCACCATTATAGGGTTCTTTTTCAAGCAGTAATTGAATATTTATATCGGGAATGAGCGCTCTAGCCAAAACGTGGGAATAGTTGTAAGTATACCTTCATTGTTTTTATTTTTTTTAATATGAATTGTTTCAAATCTATGCAAGAAAAATATACCACAAGTTTATCTTATGTTATTTTATACTTAATAAAATTGATTTAACTTGAATAAAAGAATTAATATATACTGTAATTTTAGGCCAATTTATTAATTTTAAATTAGTATTGATATATATATATATATATGTATATACATATCGATATAAATAATTATATTATTTTTATTTTATTTGCAATATATTTGTCAACTCAAACAATATTGAAAAGAAATGATACAGATGATAGATTATGTAAAGTATAATTTATAAATTACAATGACATGTATTTTGATAGTATATTTTTTTTATTAACTAAATAATGCCCCCAATAAATTATTTTTGATCTATCACTGCAATTAGCTTTCCAATAGAATTTCCATTGAATTTTTGCACAATTCCAATGACAGTTTTTCCAATGATTGAAATATGGTCCAAAAAAAATTCCAATGGAAATTCAAGTAATTGAAATCTTTAAATCCACTAAAGTTCATGTAATTTTAATTTGAACTCTGTTGGAATAGCCAATGAAATTTTCCAATGAAAGCAATATTTATGAAATATTCGTTGGAATTTTCTGTAGAATACCTTACCGTTGAATTTTTCATTGCAATATAGTAATTTGTTGTAGTCCTCTTAAACATTAATTTTTTACGTACTATTTATTGATTAATTGTGTTTACAATTTTTCTATTAAAAATATATTAAACACATGAACTTTTTAGTTCCTATATATATATATATATATATTTTCAGAAATCACTCATTATTTTATCTCAAGATTACCTATTAATTTACCAATTGAGTTACATTTCTTACATATTAATTATTTAAAAATTAGAATATTTCTTATTTTATATGTTCAGTATGATATTTATATATTATATTAAAAAAAACTAATATAGCAAATAAAAATTTATTTAAAATTAGAATAATAAAGATTTTTTTTTGGTAACTTACATGGATAAATGTACAAATAATTATTGTCTATCACATCAAATTTACACATAAAATTATAAGGACAAAAAACTAACAAGCGTTTAACAACTCAGCTCGTTTACGTCGATAAGTATATTTACAAAAGGTTTATATTTCTTCTATTAATTATAACATTTTTATTTATTACTTTGTTTCATATTTATTAGTACGTGTCACTACTTATTTATTTTTATTATTATTTATCATATTTGATATTTTTCTAAACTCTTATCTTGTTCTTTTACATGTTCTTAGTTGTAGATTTGTCAAAAAATGCATAATATAAAGTTTAGAATTTTTTCGATCATCTGTGTCATTATATATCAATTATTTGTATATCTTATATTATATTATATTTAATTACAATTTTTTTAATTTATACTACAATTAAATATTTGTAATTCATAAATTCATCAATAATATTCTCGAGTCAACTTTTGTTCATAGAATTTTAAAAAACATAATTATTTTCAATTATTTGCTTATGTTGAATTGAGAAAAGTTATGTTTTTTTAATTGTAACTGTATTGATGTGTAACATGTATTATAGATGAGAAAGATGACAAATTATGAAAAATATAATTTATAAATTATAATGACATTATGTTATTTTAATGGTTACCTTTTCTATTATCTAAATAATGCCTCAAGTATGAAATTATTTTGTATCCACCCCTGCAGGTAGATTTTGAATAGAACTTCCATTGAAATTCTTACAATTCCAGTGACATTTTTTCCAACTGTTGAATTATGACCGGAAAAAAATTCAAATGGAAATTCACACAATAATAAATAATGATAATTGGATTAATTAAATCCACTAAAATTTCAATATAATGTAATTTGATCTCTGTTGGAATAGTCAATGAAATTTTACAATGAAAACTATACAAATAAAATATCATTTGGGATTTTCATTGGATGTCTTACCGTTGGATTTTTCATTGCAATGTACCATTTTTTTATTCCTTTATAAATTTTATTTTTTATGTAGGAGTTTTTGTTATTAATTAGATGTATTTATAATTTTCTATTAAAAATATATTAAACACATGAACTTTTTAATCCATATATTTTTTAAGAAATCGCTCATTATTTTATCGCAAGACTACCTATTAACTTATCAATTGATTTACATTTCTTGCACATTAAACATCAAATAATAGAAAGTATTATTGTATATATATAATATGGCATTTATATATTATATTAAAAAACTAATAGCAAATAAAACGTTATTTAAAATCAAAATTATCAAAGCTTTTTTAAGAAAAATAAAAATAAAATTCTAACCTACATGGATAAAAGTATAAATAACTATTGTCTATCGTCTAAAATTTATACACTGAACTAATAAGCGCAAAAAATTAACATGTGGTGAACAATTTGGCTCGTTTACATCGATAAATACAAATTTAAAAGTTCTACAATTACTTTTACTAATTACAATATTTTTATTTATTACTTTTTTTTATAGTTATTAGTAAGTGTTACACCTTAATTATAAATTTAATATTATTTATTAGATTTATTATTTTTTTTTTTAACTTTAAACTGTTCTTTCATATGTATTTTAATATATATATATATTTGTGTGTGTAAAACTTTTAGGTTTGTTAAAAAATACATAAAATTAAAGTATAGCACTTTTTTGAATCATATGTCTTATTTATATCATTATTTTTATATCTTTATATTATATTATATATAATTATAATCTTCTCATTTGTACTCAAATATATAAATTTTTTATTTCGTACATTTTTTTCTTAAAAACTATTTTATTATAATAACACATAT